AATATATGGGCTTTACAATGATTATTACGTAGCTGACAAAGAGCACTCAGATTATTCTACGCTTCCTTGGAAATAAACAGAACAATCAGCCATCTCTCTCTCTCTCTCTCTCCCTCTCTCTCACTTTCTCTCTCTCTCTCTCTCTCTCTCTCTCTCTCTCTCTCTCTCTCTCTCTCTCTCTCCCTCTCTCCATATTCCTTTTTCTATGTATAGCTGTTCGCAGATGTAGATTTGTTTTGTTTTTTTAACAGTTCTTCTGCACTCTTCCTATTTCAGATTACTTTTATTATTTTCAATATTTTACCGTCCCAATATTCGCAGCTTATAGATCTATCATTACAACATAGCCGTTTGCTTCAGTCATTTTAATACATAACTGTTTGCCGGTTCGATTATCAGTGCGTTTGTACTCACTTTTGTAAGGGTTCACACGAGTGCTGTGGCTCTCCTAAGTGCCTGATGATTACTCACATTGTGAGCACCCGTCGACGCACCTTGTAGAATTCATTTGTTAATCCATCCATTCCCGTTTCATTTATTGCCCTCGCTCGAATATGATAAGATTTACGCAAAGCACTCCGTTCAACATTACAAACAAAATGGAAACGATATTGCTTTTTTCCGTTAGAGTAGGCAATTACTCGGAAATTTCCGCCAAATAAATGAAATGATTATTTCAAGAGAGCAATGCGGGTTGTGGGGTCTTGAGACGCGGTGAAACCTGGCTAGAATGACACTCGGTCGTTCAAAAAATGGATTTGCCGGATGTGATTAGCCCGGAACTGATTTGTCTGCTCTTGGTTTTGTTGAAAACGAGACTGTTCCTGCTGCGACCTGGAAGACTGAATAGAGCAACACAGATTGAATGCGAAAAGAAGAAAGCAGGAAAGGAAAAAAAAGCTAGAGATATTGAGTATTAATTACAGAAAACATCGACGCAATTGGTTCAGGCAACTCAACGCGAAAGAACGCGCGTCATTGCAATGTGATTTCAAACAGGAATTAGTTTAAAAAGAAATCGTAGGGAACTGAACAAGAACGAAAGAAGAACCTTTCAACAAAAAAAACATAGACGAACTGAAACGGTTCTGATATTTTGCTCTGTTTATTTTGGGCTTCTAATTTATTTTTACGGACACAATTTTTTTGCGTATATTAATTCAGCTTTTTGTATATACCCCGCATTACTACGTGTGTTGTCTGTTTTGCTTACTGATTTTTATTTTGTTAAAGAAGGGGAGGGGGGGGCGGTAAAATGCACAAAAAATCACACACACACACACACACACACACACACACACACACACACACACACACACACACACACACACGCGCGCGCGCGCGCGCGCGCACACACAATCACACACGCCATTACCCCCCACCCCCACTACCCTACAACATTTCCAGCATCAAGAACATAAAACATTTAGACATATTATAAAATACTTCATTTACACGTCAATATCGTCATGTCATTGATATGAGAAAGGTGGTATGTTTCTCAGTAATATCTGCCTGTAAAAGAAATGATAGCTTTTATAAGACTGCCAGCAAACTCAAGAATAAGATTGAAATCGCTTTGCTTGAGGCGTAAATATTCACAAAGGAACAAAAGAATATCTTGTAATCCGGTATAGGCATACGAGATGCCTGTCAAGGCGACTCTTTTGCTTTGTTGCCTCAATATGTGATAAATATCTTAATTATCAATTCGGGAAAAATAAATATACGAACGAGACACACAAAAGGGGGGAAGAAAGTTTGTACAGCCATTGTATTCATTCCTGAACAAAAGAGCGGTGAGTGTTTACTAAGAATGCGGTTAATTGATATCTGTTTGGGTTCTATTTAGAGTTTTCTCAGCGCTGATTTCGAAAATAAAATAACCCCAGGGATTTATTGCTCTCACTATTTTGACTACAATTGTGGAAAAAACTCGCTTTCTGATAAAAACATTTTACAATGATATGCACGCCAGTAAAGAAGTAAAGAAAGATGGCTTGTATTTGAATAGGCTAGATATTATAAACAAACACTTGCATTCTTCAGCCTGTTAACAGAGCGTTTAATTGATCTTAATTAAGAAACAAAAGATTTCCATTTACAACTGGAGACCTAAGAACAATACATGGTTGTTTTCTGCTCAAAGTTTCTAAAGAAGATTGAATCCTACTCTACGAAGATCACATAAACATTTAAGGCAAAAGACAAAAGTATGGCAGAGCCATGTGTTTCTAACAAAACACAAACTATCATCGATATCTGATTATTGACATTTCCCAGCTGCATTAGATGGAAAGAAAGTTAGATCTACAACTTCTATATCTACATTAGGACCCTGGTTGTAGATGGTTTATGGGTTTATGTTGGCCTCAGTGGTCTTATTTTTGTGCTCTCGGACTCGCAACCGTAAGGTCGTGGGCTCGAATGTCGTCAGTGACCCGACGTTGTGAGTTTGGGAAACGTACTTTACGCGAATTTTCCTCACTTCACCCGGGTGGTAATGGATACCCGGTTTTAGACAGCGAAATATCGTGTCTGTGTGTTAGTGCATTAGCGCTTATTCAGCTGCTTGCACTGTGAGATTTCAGAAAACCAAGAATGTTTCTGAGTGTTCCAAGTCTGCCGTATAGAGAAAAATAGAGAGCTTGATGTTGAACAGTGTTAGTCGCATACAGCAAAATGCTATTTGTTATTATTTATCTAATTCATTGTCGTGGTTTTACTATTTTTGTTTGCAGAAGTCCTGTCAATTTTCGGGGAAAGGACGTGGACTAATACAAAGTATCATATGTGTATCATATTTGTTCCATTGCCTTTTTACTTCTTTCTGCCTTTTTATGCTGTCGTTCTTTAACGCTTTATTTTCCATTCTCATTACCTTTTATTTATGTATTTATTTATTTATTTATTTATCAA